TCTATTTATAGACATTTAATTTTAACACAAAATATATCATATGATAGCCCTGATTTAGGGGAATCTAATAAAAAAAAAGTTTGTGCAGTTTAGATCACCCGTTGTATCACAATTAGCATTTTAACTTTAATGATTTTTTTATTAATTTTTATTTTGACTTTTGATACCCCACTGTACATACTTATAAATCCTTGGGAAAAGCGAAAGATTTAATGTAAATAATATATACCTTTTTATATTATTATATTACTTTTTTGAATGTATAATTTTTATTTATTTTTTTCTTACACGACTATATGTGTTGCTTAATATAGTAAAAATTCGATATATTTTATTCTCTTATAGCGTTACATGTGAAATAAGAGAATTTTTTCCATAATAAGTTTTCGCAAGAATTCGTATTCGTGTAATAATAGTAATTATCCTAAATCCCCACAAATCGTACATAAAAATTACCAAACACCACCAGGTTAGGCTTTATTCATTGCATTCAAGACACGTTATCGTTAATCATTATTCACACCATTTTTGTTAAACCTCCAAAGACGCAAAGTAGAATCATCAGAACAAGACGCAAACTATAATATAAAAATTAAAATTAAAGTTAAAAAGTAGATATTATAATATTATATCTTTTAATATAATAGAATAATAAATATAAATATAATAATAATAATAATAATAGTAGTAATAATAATAATTTACCGTTTCAAGATTTCTTGACCAACTTAAACTTGTAACTTCATCTTCGTGTGCTTTTAAAATAACAGGACTTTCATCGGGGAAATCGATTTCCCATATATAAATGTTATTATCACCTGAACCACACATGATATATTTATCATCAGGAGAAATCGCCATACGAATATAAAATGAACAACATAAAAATGTTGGACTGGTAAATCGAGCTAACGGAGCTCCTAAATTTATAGGATCATACATGTAGACGCTAATATTTTATAATATAAACTTTAAATTAGATATAAATATGAATTATAGAGATTATAGAGAGAAAGAAGAAGAGAGAATACTTACACGTTATCAGTGCTACTTGTAAATAATCGATTACCTTTATTATTTAATAACAAATTTGATATACCTATTTATTGAAATAAGAAAAAAATAATAATTAAAATTCAATTAATTAAAAAGTAATAATAAATAAATAGAAATAATAGTGATTTACCATGTGGACGTTTAGCATTTGAACCATTAATAGAAGTTTGAACTGGTGTTGATGACTTAATTGTACCGTGATTCCTTAAATCCCAATATTTGATAATACTATGAGAAGGAAAACGAAAAAAAAAGAAAAAGAATAATTATAATAATTTATATATACACGCTTTACATGTAATTATCAATTTTCTATTTACCCATCAATTGCTCCCGTTGAAGAAATTAAATTATCTTGATGTTTTAAAAATTGTGCACCAGTCACACTACCTGTTGGTTTGCTCTAATATTTTTAATTAAATATATTATAATTATTATTATTTTGATTGACTATAAAAAACATATAAAGTATCAAGTAAATAATAAAAATAAAATAATATATATTATATGAACCCTAATCGGAAGGGACGGGAGAGAATAACTCTTCCTCGTCGTATTCGTTGTCGTCTTTTTTGAAATATCTAGTGAATGGGCAAATCGTATACGGATGACAGGTTTATAATAAATATCTATTTTTAAATAATGTTAAATATTTAAGTTAATTTTTTATTTTGAATGTTATTATAATATTATACATTAATAATAATAATAATAATAATAATAATAATAATAAAATAAATTGAAATCAAACCTCCTTCCGGCATACGCAAGCCAGTTGTACGAACATCCCAAATAAAAATATTACCGTCTCTAGATGCTGTAACCAACATATCTTTTAAAATTGATGAATTTATTTTTTATTATTTTTGTAAGAATAACGCGAATAACAACAACAACAACAACAATAATAATAATAATAATAATAACAATAATAATAATGATGATGATAATAATAATAATAATAATTGAGAATATAAATATATAAAAAATGTTGTGAATACATTTATTGTGCTTACTTGGATTGCACGAATTGTAACTTACAGTTTTAATACTGCAAGTATGACCAAAGAAGACTGCCTTGCATTTATGTGATTCTATATCCCATAATCTTGCTGTTTGATCTCCCGAAGCCGTTATAATTGATTTATCATTTTCACTCCACATAATATCAAATACTGCATTATCATGAGTACGAAATTGAGGACGATATCGTTCTAAAATTCACGAATATAAAATTATAGAAATAGATAGAAATATATATATATAAAAATAAAATGTAAAGATGTTTAAGATATGAGATCTTACCCATCTCGATGGTATTATCATGTCTAGCATCAATAAATCCCACTACACCTTCTTCATCTGCTACTGCTAAATATTTTCCATCTCTTACAACTTGATAAATTATATAATAATAAAAACGGTGCGTAATTAATATAATAATAATAATAATAATAATAATATAATAATAATATAATAATAATATAATAATAATATAATAATAATATAATAATAATAATAATGCTTACAATGACTAAATGAACAAACAAATGGAGTGATCAAACCTCGATCACCCAGAAATTTGAATTCATCTTTCTTAGAACTCGTGAAATGTTTAATAAAAAAACGCGTCGAAGCTGAGGAAATTTATCATTATTATTATTATCATTTTTATTGTTAAATTAAATTAGAAAATATCATTTAGATAGAATTTACCGTTCCATTCTCTTGACCCTAATACTGACCCACCAACTGGATTACCCCATAGTTCTCTCAGGAATAAAGAATTATTAATAGGACGTGGTGTTAGAGGAGGAGGAGTGATAGTAGTATTTGTAGTGATAATAGTATTATTAGTTGTGGTAGTTGTTGATATAGCATAATTTTCTTTATTATTCTCGTCAAAGATTGGACGAGTATTTTCTGATATTGCATTGATTTTTATTCTTTTTTTTGGAGGTTTTTCAAATATTGAATAATTATTGTTATTATTATTGTTATTAAAAGAGGACGTTGGCGGTTCAGAGTTCTCTCTACATAATAATACATTTGTAGTATTTGTTGTTTGACGCGTTATTTCTGAAAATGGAGTTTTGAGATAATTAAGAATGCTGGTATTTTGAATATTTTCATTATTATTTTTTTTGGTTTGTTTTTTGCGACGTTGAATAATAGAATTTCCCGACATTTATGTTATTATAGAGTAAAAATTATTAAATGAGGTTTATTAAAGAAGAGGAAATTAATTTAGTTTTTTTTTTTTTTTATTATTTCTGATGCGTTATTTATATATTTCTACATTGTCTTTATAGTATAATATAGTTTATTGTAGTAAATACACCAAAAACGCGTATTGAATCAATCTTTACCATAGAAATTTCTCCCACACGTGCTAAATGCATGGGTTAGGGTTTATCAGGGGCAGCGTATTTATTAAATATTCTGGGGACTTGGAATTTTTTTTACTTACGCTTACAGAAACTATATTCGTCACCGAATATTCATCGTTTATCCAAAGAAATTGGTAATTTTTTTTTTTAAATCCTAATTGCATAAGGTATATTGAGATGGTTTGTTCCCTATTAATACAACCGTTACATAAATATTAATATGAATAATATAATAGATGTAATAATAACAAAATCCGACCATAATTGTAATACGATTCAGATATTTCAAATTTTTTAGGAATTAAAATATCAAATGAAATAAATGAAATGAATTCGTTTCAACCTTAATTTCTTGGCATTTAAAGTTGAGGGGGAAATTCATTTATTTTGATTCATGAGAAAATTATATCAATGAAAAAAATAAGAAAATGGAAATAATTCGGTTAATGAATCATTTAACGCATTCTATTCTAATAAATTAATATGTATGACTTAATATTATAATAAAATAAAAATTCCGAATTTTTACCAAAACTTTGTCAATCAAAATATATTTTAATATTCATGGCTTTTTTTTTTTATCAAAATCTTTAATACCAGGAAGAATTCCTTCACCTAAACTTTAATGCCTTATAACACATCCTTAATTAATTATCCCCTTCACGTAAGTATTATAAAGGAGCGATCAATAAAATATGAAAGAGATATATTTGCTTTATAAAAAATAAATATCTTTTTGGAAATTGATCTATAGATTGTTGATTTCCATTTGATGATTAATTCTAAAATAATTTTTAAAACTATCGATTTCATCATAATTAGTGTAACATCGTCATGCATTATTATTTGTTTGTTTGTATTAGATACAAACTTTATCAATATCAATGTCAACTGTTGTATCAGCTCCTGGTAAAGTTCTAATTATCGGAGGATATTTAATACTTGACAGGTTATATGAAGGATTGGCAATCGGGGTAGATGCTCGTTTCTATACTGTTATAAATTCGGGCAATAATACTCCTTCAAAAATTATTGTTCGCTCACCGCAATTTAATGATGGAAATTGGGAATATCAAGTTTCAAGAGTTCAAGATATTTATAAAGTGAAAGCAATGTAAATAATTATAATAATTATGAATTTAACTTTAATAATAACATTAATTAATTAATAATAATTAATATTAATATTAATATTAATAATAATAATATTATTATTATTTTAATATTTTTAGAGACAAAGATAAAAAAAACAAATTTATTGAAATTACTATCAAATATTGTTTGTCAATTATTGCAAGTCGAATATCTCAATCAAAATTTGATGAGAAAATTAGGGATGGATTAATTATTTATATTGTTGGTAACAATGACTTTTATTCACAAAGAGAACAGGTAAAAAAAATATTAATTATTTTCTTCTTTTGCAATATTCTTATTAAATATATTAATTAATATAAATCATTTTTAAAATCATTTTTATAAATAAACAAAAGTTAAAAATTCATAAATTACCACTTAATGCTTCTTCATTACGTTTACTTCCTTCCTTTAATAAAATGTCTGTAACTTTAAAGCAAGTTCATAAAACAGGACTTGGATCATCAGCATCATTGATAACTTCAATGGTTGCTGCATTATTTATTCATTTTCAATGCGTCGATGATGATGATGATAATAATAATAATTTGGATATTTTTAATTATCAAAAAACATTAATTCATAATGTAGCTCAATTATGTCATTGCATCTCTCAAGGAAAAATAGGTTCTGGATTTGATATCTCGGCAGCTGTTTGGGGAAGTCATGTGTATAAAAGGTTTTCACCAGATATTTTAAGTAAAATTATTGAAAATGATGAGGTTAGAAATATTATTATCATTATTTTTTTTTAATTAATTAATATTTCAATTATTTTTTTATTTTAATTCGCGATATATATATATATTTATTTATATATATATACATTTATTATTTTTTTTTTTTGAAATTTAATTATTTTTGTTATTAGAATGAATTGAATGGTGGTGAACTTAACAAAGTAGTTGATCCTACATTTAATAAGTAAGTAAAAAAAATCAAGTCTCTTCTTGTAATTAATTATTTCATTACATCCTAATATATATTATTGTATATTATTTTCTTAAATATAGATGGGATAATCAAGTGGTTTCAATTTCCCTTCCACCACAATTTAATTTAATTCTAGCTGATATTAATATTGGTTCAAATACTCCAAGTCTTGTTAATAAAGTTTTGAATTGGCGAAAGTCAAATCCGAATGAAGGTAAATTAATAAATTATTATTATATTAATTGTTGAATAAATAAATATTATATTAATTATTTATTAAATTAATTTGATAATAGCTAAAACTTTATGGGATAAACTTGCATCTCATAATTCCAAAATTATCAATAATATACATGAATTAAACAAGGAATACAAAAGCAATAAATTAGAATATGAGAAAGTTATTGCAATTTGTTCGAATAAAAAATTTTCCGATGTAAGTTTTACATATTATCTATTATTATTATTGTCTATTATTATTATCCATTATTTTTTATTTATTATAATTAATTTTTCCTATATTTCTCAAAAAAAAAAAAAAAAAAAAAGTTGATATTACAGAAAAATATTTTAAATTCTCATATTATAAATATTTTAATTGATATTTATCAAACATTTCAAGTATGTATTATTATAACATTTACCATATTTATATCATATTTATCTATTAAAATATTTATTTGTTAATTTTAATTAATTTTAATTATTTGTTAAAGAAAATTCGTCAATTTCTACGTGAAATGTCAACATTGTCAAATACTCAAATTGAACCTCCAGAACAAACAAGATTACTTGATGCTTGTATGGAAATTCCTGGAGTAATCTTGGCTGGTGTACCTGGTGGTAAGCAAAGCAATTTTAACATAAAGATCATGTTTCTTTACATTTCCATTTTTTTTAATTATCTTCTTTTAAACTCAATTTTAATAATAATAATAATAATAAATAGCTGGAGGATTTGATGCAATATTTTGCATTGGAATTGGAAATAATTTTATTGAAAAAGTTGAAGATCTTTGGTCTACTTGGAGTGAAATGAGTGTTGGACCTTTACTGGCTAATGAATCTTCTGAAGGATTTAAATTAGAGAAATTAGAAAATATAAAAGGATTAGCCGAAATGATACAATCTTAAGTTATTTATTGATTTATTTATTTGCATTTTACCAGTTCTTGTTAGAATTTATCAAATTTATAAAAGAATTATTTAAATAAAGAAAATATTTGAAAATGAATTCAAATATTGTGTTGTTTCATTTTAAAATTAGTCAGTTTAATTGGAAAAATCTATTAACAAAGTACTTTAATCTGTACACAATAGACCTAATCTTAATCTTCAATAAAATTTATGGTCTAATTTTAAATAATAATTTCAGCAACAAGTAGAACTTTAAATCTCAAATCAAAAACTGGAATAAAAATTACATCTTTGGATAGACAGACAGATACAATACATCTTGATTTAATAAAAAAAAATCATTTATGTACAGTAAGATCTACTATTCTTTAATTACTATTTATTAAAGTTTATTACATATTGTTAATTATTAAAAAAGTTTAATTACATTGATTTAATTAAGCTGACTAAGCTAAACTTGTTGACTTTTTCTTTTACATTTGTGCATTCTTGAACTTTTGGAGGAACACAACTATTTTTAAATTTTTATTAATAATAATCTCTTTAAAAATATCTTCAGAATTTTATTGATGATGAATGATTGTTTGTTTTTTATGTTGTTTCAAATTATATATTTGATTTAATTATCCAATTTCATCAATAAAGAATATATGAATTTTATGTTATTCAATATTATCACCACTGTTACCAATTCCTTCACTAACCCATTATTAGTATGATTAGAAGAGGAAGCAGAATCATATTTAAGTTTCTTTCATACTTGATATTGTATTTTAGCTATATAATATTTGTTACAATGGTTTTTGATTTTTCTTTTTTTTAACTTCAATTATAATTTTTTATTGTTATTTCTTTTATTTGTAGCTTTGTCTTTATTATTTTTGAAAGATTTATAATTTGTTTTGTTAACTTTTTCATTGTTATCCATTATTCTAATTTCAAAACTATTAAATGAGAAACAAATTTTCATTGCTTTCTGTTTCACTTTTTATATTACTTGATTGAATTTTAAATTGTCTACATTAATGTAAATACAAAATTATTTTGAAATCTCATATCATAAAGTTGTTACTATATTAAAAAGTCACTTCCTTGAAATTTCTCTTGAGAGATTAATATAATAGCCTACAAAAGTATCTGGACAGCTGTTTTTTTTCAAATTTTTAAGGGTAAATTCTGGCATAATGAATAATTTAAATTATACAAACATTATTTTAAAAGAATTTTCAGATCATGGGAATCATATGATTTTGTCTTAAATAAAATTAACCAAAATTATTAAATTAAATTATTAATTGTAATCTCTTTCAATTTCAGTAATTATCTACTGAAAGTACTTACTATCTTATAAGAAGTTGTAGTTCTATACTAAATCTTAACTTTAATTAGTATTATATTTTATATTTTCTAGTTAAAACCAGAACTTTACTTAGACATGACTAAAAAATGATTGAAATTATTATTGATTATTTACTGTTTAAAGAAAATTATCAATTATTATTACATATAAAATATTATTTATATCAATGAAATTTTAAAAATGATACCAAGTAATTTTGAAGAGAATATTATTGTGCATATATAAGTTTCAAGTCTTTATTATATGGAAAAAAAAATAATTAATAATTAAATTTTAATAGAATAAACTTAATTGTAACAACTTGTTATATATAAAATATAAGGTAAAGGGAAGTATTATGATGTGAATGGGTAATGTGATGTAGCAAAAAATTTTAAAGATATTGCTTAATAAAATAACTGGAATTAAATAATTTATGTACCATTCAATTTGTCTCATCAAAATGAATCATATGGTACATGAATCATCTGATTCTAATAATTGGATTACAAGATATCATTATTAAAGTGATCTTTTAAATTAACTAATTAATTAAATTGAACTTTTGTTTTGTAATATTATATCATGTCACATAATAAATACTGCTATTATTTAAATTTATTAAAGTTTTATAGTTCACCAATATTATACTTCAAAAAATTGGTATTTACATTTTGTATTATGTTACATGTCATGTAAAATTATTATTAACAAATAATAGTAAATTTTTATTCAATTAATTATCATCACACTGTGTATCACATAATATTTACTATCAAATTTATGTTTTCGTGATCTAGTTTATTTTATACGTGTTGTCCAAATCCCAAATCATTTGGAATTTGGAATGTCAAAATCCCAAATTACTAGTATTTGGGATTTGGGATTTTGGCAAAAAATACTAATCATAATTTGGGATTTGGAATTTGGAATTTCGGCATTTGGAATTTCGGCATTTGGAATTTCGGCATTTGGATTTTGAATTTGGGTGACAGGTATAGTTTATTTGCTAAGGAAATAAGAGTAACTGGTTTAAATGTAATCCTATTTTCATTCAAAATATTATCAAGTTCAGTTCTAAAAAATATAACTACAGGTGCTCCACTACTTTACCTTTCAGAATCTTTTGCTTTCTATATAAAATAATTAATTATTTTATTCAATTATAAAGAAATTTACAAAGATTAAAAATATCTTATGTAATGTTGTTAAATTTTTAAATTTATTATAACACTGTTCTTGAAAATATATAATATCATATTATTTTTTTAAATGGTCACTATACTCTAGTCTAAGTAGATGATTAAGATTGGTTTGATCATATAATTATGATTTCTTGTTTATGCAATATCAAAAAAGTTAAAAGTGCTTTAGTAAAATTGATATCTCACTTGGTAGTTTATTTTCTTCATTTATTTTTACATGAAGAAAGTATAGAAGACTGATTTTCTATATCAAAAGTCTCATTAACAAAAGTATAATTTTCTTCTATTTTTTATAAGAATATTAAAAAAATTAAAAAAAATTAATGCAAATTTATTATCTCATGAGGTAGATTGATATTTAATTAGTAATAATCCAATCTAAATTGAATTTTGGATTTAACAATCCAATTCAAAACATGTGAACATGATTTATGCAACTTCAACCAATCTAATTCAAATTCAATTTGCATATGAACATACCCATAATATAGTAACTTCATGTACTACCTGAACTTTTATATTTATTTCTCAAATGTATTAAATAAAAAATTTGTATATAGATAAGCATATAAATAGTAAAAAAGTTAGTATTAAATAATAGTATGGAGTTACAATACACACTACCTAAAGAAGGTATGACAATAAACTATATGGTACGAAATGCTATTTTGTACTATACGATTTTATATAAAATTTACACAAAATTCATGTAATACAGTACACCTTATTATCTATATATTTAAATTGTACTGTATGAAATTTTTTATATACAGTACAAGAGATATGACGATAAACTGTATGGTACAAAACACTATTTTGTACTGTATGATTTTATATAAATTTTTGCACAAAATTTGTACAATAATATATATATTATAAAAATCTAATTATACTGTATGAACTTTTTTATATTAAAAAACCATACAGTGTTGACCTTATTTCTTTATTTTTTTTTATAATTATATATATTTTTATTACAACGTATTTTATTATTATTATTTTATTTTATTATTATATTAGTATTTCATATATG